TCACATCATATATATTGTCATGCTGCAAAAAATTATATATTAGCATCCCATTTCAGACAAGATTTTTGTGTGTTCCATAAATGTTTGTTGTGTTTCCAGACTCGTCCTTAGTGTTTCAGACTAGGGGTGAGAATTTGGACCGAACCGGTTTAGCATAAATTAGTGGACTTTGGACCAGACCTGTTGAGGCATGTCCAGGTTTGGGTTTTCCGGTTCTTGTACCCGTTGGATTAATACAATTTTAGGTGCATATGGTACAACTCGTAGAAGCCCTACCGAAAGTTAATTTATCTATTACGACTCTAGGGGCAAGTATTTAGACCGAATCAGACCAGACTGAATCGGACCTAGCTCTTGGATCAGATTGATTTAGTAGAAATTGGTGAACCTTGGACCAGACATGTTGAGGCTTACCAGGTTGAGGTCCTGGTCCTGGACCTAGACGGTCCAGAGGTCCAAATGCTCATCCTTATTTCAGACAAGTTCTTCACTTTTTGGACATGAACTTCGTGTTCTAGATATTCTTTTTTCTAGCTCGGTAGATGTTCTAGTTGCTCTTAACATAACTATTACTCATACAAAAGGCTTAAATAGCAATAACCACTTCAAAGGAAATATTTTATCTAAAAATGCATTACATTACTGACATGTTGTGCATGTTCCTAATAAGATATTTGTATTTTAGACAACATTTAAATATGTAATGTGCTTAAGTTAATGTAATGTATATGTAACTGCCCATAAAACTTCGAACTATTCACTATCAGAAGACATTCTCTTTAAAAAGAAAAAAGAACTGTGAAATGACCAGAATGGAGATTGGCTTAAGTCTAAAATACCATTTGAACTTAAATCTTCGAAATGTGATATATATATATATATAATATATATTATATATATATATATATATATATATATATATATATATATATGGGATCTCAGTAACGAGCCAGTTTTACCATGCTAACGATCCAGTCAAATTCCGATCCGGAACACAACATTCGAGGCTAATCGATTATTTTGCAAAAGTAAAATTTTGGGTTATTTCCTTTAAGTTTACATGAGATTATGTTAATTTTACTTAGGGGGTGTTTGGTTTAGCTTTTCAAAGCTAAAAATTCTTTTTGGAAAAGAAAAAAAAGCAAAAGATGTTTGACAAACTAGTTTTAGAAGTTACTTTTGAAGTTTTTACATAAGGAAAATCAACTTTTTGGAAAAGTCAGGAAATCCTGACTTTTTGTAACTTTTTCAAAAAGAACTTTTGAGGTTTGAAAAGCTAAGCCAAACACCTCTTTAATATCCCTTATTTTTTTTTTTATCTTATTCATCTATTTCTATCACTTCTAGCATTTATTAGTTGATTCATTTTTTACTAGACAACTATCAATCTTCAAAAAATACAAAATAATAAAACCATTGGATTATTTTTAGATCATCTTAAACCCGCTAAGCAAGATTTATCTTAAATTCTAATGGATATATGATCTAAGGCTATAAAGATTGGGATGCAATATAAAATCGTTTAACATAAAAAACTTATTCATTCATCAATTAACAATAAATACTTTGTAACATAAAAAACTTATTCATTCATCAATTAACAATAAATACTTTGTAACATGAAAAATACATTTCTAATACACCATTTAACAATAAACAATTCAAAAAAGTTTTATACGATTCATATTAGATTCACTTTACAAACAATCTTACGATCATCCCTCTGATCCTAATATGATCGGGCTAGATTTACCTAGATGAAATCATATGACATCACAATTTTAATAAATAATAACCTTGATAACAAAAAATAATTTTAAACAGAAAAGAAGATATAATCGCATTTGTAGGTACATGACATATACTTTATTCATGCTTTTTCACCAGGAAGGGTTTTACCCTAGTAGCAAAGTGAAAACATCAACTTAGGATCCGAAAATACAATTCAATAAAGCAAAATGATCAACTCACCCAAAAAGCAAAACATACACGAAAAGCTGTAAAAACTACTATTTCATGTTTTTTAATCAATGAGACCATAAACAATTTATCTACACCATAAATTCGCAACATATAACATTCTAAAACAAGCAAAAAACAAAACCATTTTAGAAACCACATATCAACATTTTTATAAACTAAAACCCTACTTGCAAAACACTAATTAAATACACAATCCATCTTTAATTCCTCATGGGATTTATTATTATTTCAATCGTGAAAGAATCTTTAGAACTTCTTCCATTGAAGGCCTATCAGAAACCTTGCTTGTAGTGCATCCAAGAACAACTTCAAGAACAACCTTTATTTCCTCTTGAGTAGACTTTGAAGAAGAAGAAGCACCAACTTCATTTTCATTATATATTTCCTTCAAAATAACATCTTTCGGTGTCCGTTGTACACTCATTCCCCATTTTTTTCGTTTTCCATTTGTTAAAATTTCAAGAACGAGTTCTCCAAAGTTAAATATATCGTCTTTCAACTCGTGATCCGTGACACCGTTGTATTCGCCTGCCATAGATAAATGATGTTTAAAATATATTCAGGAAAATGGTTAAATGCAAGAAATTGCAATGTGCTTTTTAAAAAAGTATTTCACGAAACCCATGCATGAAATGAGTGGTTATTTTGTTATAAAAGATAAGAATGTGGTCATTTTGTGATATTAACTTTTTAATTTTGGTTATTGTTGTGATTAGTCCAAAATAAATGAAAGAAATTTGTAAAAGGTTATGGACTTAATCGGAAAAAAGCTACTTTGTCTAACTTTCTTTATCAAGACTGACTATGTTTGACGTATTAGCTGAAAGATAGGTGTTAGCTGAAAGAGTAACTGTTAACTAAAAAACTAACTACCAACTTACTGAAAAACTAGCTGATATAAAATGACGTTTGGTAAAAACTAATTGATAAGCTAGCTGGAAGATATAAAATGATATAAAAAATTGTTTAAAAATATGTTATTTATAACTAATTAATGGTATATTTGAAAATTTTTAAAAAACTGAAAAGCTAGTTTAAATAATTTTTTTTAAAAGCTAGCTTATAAGCTACTTCTTGATTTGCCAAACATAACAACTTAAAAAAACTCAAAAAAAAACTAGCTTATCAGCTAACTTCTGCATTAACTAAAAGAAACACTCATATATAGCTTATTACCTGATTCCATTGCAGATATTGTTTTGAATGCGAATTCGGCCAAACGCGGCTCCATATTTTCATCAAAAACAACATTACTTGCCTTCAAATTTCCATGAGAAATAGCCGGACGACAATCATGGTGAAGAAAACATAAGCCTTTTGCAATATTAACCACAAGCCGATGTTTCGAACCCCAATCTCTCTTGATTCCAATCTTTTCATCAAGATTCCCATTAGGCAAATACTCATACAACAAATACCCAAGATTCTTATCATAACAAAAACCCAACAACCGGATCACATTCTTATGTCTTGCATTCCCGATTCGGTTCACAAAATCCATCAAAAGATTCGAACTTTTCGCCCCCCATTCGATTTTCCTCACTATTACAGTCATCCCGGTTAGCAAAACCGCTTTGCAAACGGAATTAGATGAATGTGGGGATTCCATCGCTTCAATGGAATCAAAACTTTTTAAAACATCGGAAGCCGTGAGATTTGGTAATCCACCGAAGGAATCGAGATTCCAGTTCCGGTTTACGTTTTGTTTTCGGTAGTAAATGATCCCGAAAAGGGAAGCCAAGAGTACAACTACTATTGCACTTAGTATAAGTACCCAAGCTATTTTGTGATTCCGGCTTCTTAATTCCATTCCGGTGTGTATTCCATTCCCGTTGTGGCATGGGGTTACGAGGGGTGCACCACAAAGGTTTGGGTTTCCAAGAAATGAAGTAATTTCCATTGATGTAAATGGAATTGGACCTGAAAGATCGTTGTTTGACAAGTTAAGAGATTTCAACTTCATGGAGTTTCCTAACTTCGCCGGAATCTCGCCGGAAAAGTTATTTCCGGCCAAATTTAATGTTTCGAGGCTGTTGCAAACGGATAAACTTTCTGGGATGATTCCGGATAAGTGATTCTGGTTCAGTTCAATGGAGTATAACGACTTACAGAACTGGAATCCGGGGATTTCGCCGGAGATATTGCAAGACGAAGCTGAAAAGTTCTGGAGCGCCGGCGACGACCATGTTTTTTCCGGGAGGGTCCCACCAAGTTCGGGATTATTAGAGACGCTAAAAAACTCGAGATTTGAAGCAAGAAATATATCAGAAGGAATCCCATTGGTAAACCTATTCCCAGATAAATCGATATAAGAGACATTACTAAGAAGCTTGAAATCCAAAGATATATCACCGGAAAACGAATTGTCTTCGAGGCGAATACGAATAAGAGAAGAACAATTGGAAATTGACGAAAGGGAACCCGTGAAATAATTCGAAAAGAGCATTAATTTCGCTAACGCACCTTGTGAACATATATCGGGAGGAATCACACCCACAAAACCATTTGATGAAACATCGACAGATATGAGTTTAGAGTGTTTGCCCAATTCTTGTGGAAGTGTGCCACTAAAGAGATTATCCCAAATAAGAAGCGATTCGAGCTCTGGAAGCTTCGCGATGCCCTCGGGAATCGAACCATTCATGTCGTTATACATAAGGCTAAGCAATTTTAGGCTTTTCAAATCTGAAAAACTATCTGGAATAGGGCCGGAAAGCATGTTGTCGGAAAGATCTAGGCTTGAAAGAGTCAAAATGTTGCCGATTTCCACTGGGATTAAACCAGAGAGATGGTTTTTGAAGAGGAAAAGTGTGTTAAGTTTGGTTAATTTACCTAAATCCTTTGGGATTGGACCTGAAAGATTAGCTCCGGCTATATCGAGATACTGGAGCTCACTCATATTACCAAATTGCCATGGGATGTTTCCTTGATAAGAATTGTATCCGATCTCCATGTGAGTGACAGTTTGAAGGTGTCCAAACTCGATTGGTAGATACCCAGTTAGAGAATTGCCTGCGAGGTGAAGAAAATCGAGACTTTTGCATGATCCGTATGCTCCTGGAATGGGTCCACTGAAATAACTTCCAGCAAAGTTAAGAACTTTCACAGAGGCAATTTCACAGACATCTGACGGAAGTGATCCCGAGAAGCTGTTGCTGAAAGCATCAAGAACTTCCAAGTTCTGGAGATTGGATATTCCAATTGGGAAATCGCCGGAGAAATTGTTTCTGCTAATGTCAAGGGTTTTCAAGCTGGTGAGATTGAAGATCCCGATAGGGAGTTCGCCGGAGAACGAGTTGTGACTTATGTTTAGATCAATTAGGTCAACAAACTGATTGAACTGAACCCCAGATAAAACCCCACTGAGATTTTTCAAAGAAAGGTCTAAGCCGATGACTTTTGTCGAGTTTTGATCGCATTGTACACCCGTCCAAGAACAAGCATGAATATTTGGAGATGGGTTTTGTTCTTGAGGGATAACCCAATCGTTTAAAACATCTGGTGGAACAGTGAACTCTGATTTCAAGCTCAATAGTGCTTCTGAGAAAGGATCGGAAGCAGATGAAACGGAGAAGATGAACATGAAGAAGAGATAACAATAAAGAATCTCCATCTCAAACCTACAGCTGGAGAGGGGAAGAAAGGTTGAATCCAAGAACTCGATTAGGGGTTTTCTTGTGAACGGATTGAATTACACACATCGAAGAAAGTTAGGTCAATTTATGCTCGTCGTAATTATGATTTATTAATGCATTGGGACTGCAAAAAAGTTGGCAGAAAAGGAGGGAATGGCATCATACTGTGAAGTCGTAAGCTGGGGTTTTGAATTGCTTTTGGAAGTATTGCCAATTGCAATGGCCATGGGGTCGGAAGATCGGATAATAACTCGTGAAGTACTCTATACTCCTTCCACAAAAAGACATTATCAACACAAGTTCTAGTTCTATAGTGAAATTCTGTTAACCAAAATCAAAAAAATAATAATATAAAAGTTAATTTTATTAGAATTATATGACAAATGACATAAAAACCTTTCAATTTTCAATAAAAATATCGGTTTTATCTTGAAAGTGTTTTAGTTCCGATAAAACCAGATTTTTTTTTAAAAATTTTTTTAATTTTAAATTTGGTCATTTATATACTTTTAGTCGGTTTTCATGTAACCTACTTGTTACCTGATGTGAGTAAAGCCTTTAGTTTAAAAAAAATATTCTCAAGAACCAAAGCTAATGAATTCATTGTGTAGTTGATCAAATTATAATGGTGCATACAATAAATAATAGAGTTTTGGATAAGTGATCAAACTGATTTGGAGTGTTTGATGTATGTCGTTTAAAAAAAAATATCATTTATGGACTATTTGGATGTACTAATTAATTGCAACTAATGTTTAGAATCATATCATACTATATTATAAAGAAAACATATTTTCTTTCACCATATTAATTTGAAACTTCAAACTTTTTATATTTCCATACAATATACTTAATTTATTAACTTAAATATATTTTTAGTTGTAAATATTATAATAAATAGAAGAATTTGTGACTTATCAATATGATATACTTAATTTGTTAACTTCAATATATAGTTAAATAAATAACCTACATTAATATATCAAATAGGCTTAATAATTTAGTGTAAAATTTAAAATCTAAAGTAAAATATCAAATAATGTTTTAAAAGAATTCAATATATATATATATATATATATATATATATATATATATATATATTATATATATATATATATACCGTAGTTAAAAGGAAAACATTAAATATAATAATAGTAAAAGAACCTAAATTGATTAATTGAATTAACTAAAAAGTGTCTGAAAACTATATTTTAACAATATATTTTTAACTTGCGCCGCGCAAAGCGTGTGAATTCGTCTAGTAAATTATAAGGGATACATTAATTGAATGCGAGCAAATAGAAACATTAAAGTTTGTATCTATACCTTTTAAGAAGTCACCAACTTATGAGAATATGTTTCCAAAAAAATAACTGGAAATTTTAGACATATTTAAATTGTTGGTTTAAATTTTTAAAAAATGATACACAAAAAAATAATAATAACAAGCAAAAAAGGCCATATGGTTCGATACATACATGCTTTAGTAAATAGACTTACGAGAAAAAAAAAAAAAAAAAAAAAAAAAAAAAAAAAAAAAACTTGACCTAGATTTAAAGATATTTTCAATGGATAAGAAAACCAAAAATGATGAAAATAAATATAGAATCATTATTTCAACTTCAAAATTCAAACTTTAAACTCATGATTCAACTTCATTTACATGTGTGTATGCACCCCTAAAATAGAGCTTTATAATTTTTCAAATGTGTGTATGCATCCCTAAAATAGAGCTTTATAATTTTTCAAATAATCTTTTTTCCTTCGTTTCATTTTTCAAAATTTAACAATCTCTACCTATGTGAAATAAAATTTGATGTTTAGATAAAATGCTCAACAAAATTTTAGATTTAGACAAAAAAATATAAAATTAAAAAGCGGGGTGACTAGTTCAATTTGAGATAGCAACTAGATTATGACCCGCGTTAAACGTGGGGAACACATAAATAAAATACAAATTTATATATATATATATATATATATATATATATATATATATATATATATATATATATTACAGAATAATTATAAAAAAGCAGAGTTATTGGTATTATTGATATGTGTAGAAATTACACTAAAATTGGTATATATATATATATATATATATATATATATATATATATATATATATATATATATATATATATATATTACAGAATAATTATAAAAAAGCAGAGTTATTGGTATTATTGATATGTGTAGAAATTACACTAAAATCGGTATATATATATATATATATATATATATATATATATATATATATATATATATATATATATATTACAGAATAATTATAAAAAAGCAGAGTTATTGGTATTATTGAGATGTGTAGAAACTACACTAAAATCGGTACATATATATATATATATATATATATATATATATATATATATATATATATAACATTTTTTGTTTTATTAGTTCAATGACCTTGCTCGTCACATATAAGTATCTTCAAACATTTTTTACTTGTGCACGGAAAACAACTATATATAGCCAACCATGTGTGAAAATGGGTCTACACAAGTATAATCCAACATTTGACAATATACTTTCAAAATACATTGTTATTTTATGGCTATATTGCGAAATAAAACTTTTTATTTCAAAAAATAGCAACTTATTTATGTTCCTTCAAAATGAACCACATAAAACCTGTAACACCATAAATTTCAAAACAAAATTTTCAATTTTTATAAAAACATAATTCACTTAGTATTCATAAAACAACCATGTTTGAAATTCAATCCAAGTAATACAAAAATCCCAGATCTCAAAATCATAAATCCCATGCGTGTGTACTGATCAAGCCGGCGCCTTCCCACGGTCGTCACTAGTACCTGAAACAATAACACCAAACACTGTAAGCACAAAGCTTAGTGAGTTCCCCAAAATACCACATATAACACATATTAGCCACTCGAGGCTATAACTCTGTGGGTCCGTGCACCCAAACTCTGTGAACCCTCAGGTTCTAACTCTGTAAACATGCACATCATAAATCACAAAGAATAATGCAGCGCAACACATAACACATATATAGCATACAAACACTGTATCACATAACTCTAGTTACCTACTCAAGGTAAAGTATAGTGAGAAGACTCACCTCACGTATCTCGGTAACTCGCAAGTCCCTGAAATCACTCGTGCTCGATCTCCCGATCTATAGTCCTCCTATAACACAATACATCTCTAAATAACACTTCACAACTAAGGTTGACTATCCCTTAACAAGTCAACCTAGGTTAACACTGGTCAATGGTCAACGACCAACTTTGACCGGACTCGGCGAGTGCACTATAGCGACTCAGCGAGTCTATGCACATACACTGATTTCCCTGGGATCCTCACTTGACACGACGAGTATTCTTCTAGCTCAACGAGTTCCACCTGGCATGATTTGTGGGGCCTCCACGACTCAACTCGCCGAGTCTCAAGAACAACTCGGCGAGTTCCAGCTTGACTCAGTCCACATGTCAACCCTCTATGACTCTCCCTGACTCACCGAGTCCATCCCTTAACTCGGCAAGACCACTCGCTGAGTGGTGCTGGGCAGTCTTCATGCTACTCGCCAAGTCTGTTCTTCAGACTCAGCGAGTCCATGCCATGCATTAACTCAAACTCACTCCTGAGGTCAGATCTACTCCATACATTCATAGATCTGGCCTCCCCAAGCATGATAATCACGTAAAGTCCAAACCTTGGGGCTCAAACAACAACTATTTGCTCATAAATGATGTTTTAGCCCCATATCTCATAACTATAGGCCAATACTCTCATGAACACTCATAAAGCTTAAGGAATACAGCTCTTCTGGACCCCTATGGATCTCATCTCAAGCCTTATCATGATTAGGGACGAATTGGACATCAAATCTAACCAACAAAGGCGTCAAGAAACCCTAAACCCCCATGTTCATCATAAAAACCGAGAAAGGAAGCCAAGATATACCTCCACGATGATGCTCTGAGCTCCAAAATCGAAGAATGTCCACTTCCCTTGCCTTCTCTTAGCTAGAATCTCCTTTGCCTTGCCAAACCAAGCTTCAAAGATCAATAATGGCCTCTTTTCTCTCCTAAAACGCTCAAATCTCTTTAGGGTTTCTCTCTAGGGGTTGCAGATTATCGAGCCTCCATGCAAAGCTTACAACATAATGAAAAAAACAAAAAACCCTTATGAGGTAACACCAATTACGATTCCACCCCTTTTACTCTTGTAACAATTATCTCACTTCAAAACTTCAAAACATCTGTTTTTGTGTTTCAGCGTATTATTGATAGCATGAAACATCCAAACATTGTAGCATTTTGGTTAATCACAATGCCTCAAATTATGGGTGGATTCAAATATGATGATGAGGTCAAACATACAATATGGTGGTAATACAAGGTTCTTCTTCTTCTTCTTATTTATTTATTTATTAATTTTTTTATTTCAACTTTATTACAAAATTAAATAACTTCTTTTGTTGATATTAGTGTTTCTTATTTAGAAAAATATGCGATATGATCAACTTCGTGATGTGGTAGCAATGAGACAACTTGGATGAGCAAGAAGTGAGATAAATTTATAATTTATTAACTTCAATGAGAAATTAATCAATTACTGTTTTGTTATTGAATTTGAAATACATCAGGAATTATATCAATGGATGCTGAACGTGCAAGAAATGATCTAGTGGTAGTAAAGAACATTCCTTACTACAAAGCAAAGAGCAAATTAGAGATAGAAGTATTGAAGCTCAATCCACCACCATGACCTCAAAACTAGAGAGTGGAGGGGGGGATCAGTATAAACAAAAGTTTTTTCATTTATATTTAGTAATTTTCATATTTGGTCCCTCTGTTTAGTTGATTTTTTTAGTTTTGATCCCTGAAAGAATCAGGTTGCATTTTTTGGACATTGTTTCACTGTTTCATAAAACTTTTATAATTGCCTAAGTTAA